AGAATGGTTTACCGCCCTGCTTTGGGGTAGCATCCTTAACATCATGTCCAGGTCTGGTTAGCTGTAGCGCCCTTTCTCTGCTTTGCAACTCATTCTACAGAAACTCGATAAGCTCTGGAACCTTCCATTCACTGTTGGAGTCTGATCGCCTGGTGTAGGCTAAGGCTATATCCTCTGGGATGAGCTGCAGCAGCACTGGACATAGCAGGCAGCCACAGGTGTCACTGTGCACCCCCAAGGATTCCAAGCTACGAATCTGAATCTCACACTCATCATACAGGTGTCTCAAAGATGCCACATCAGATGATTTCTTTACTGGTGTCAGGTTTAATAATTTGGACATATGAGCACTAATCACAATGTCCTTTCTTCCAAATCGACTCTGGAGTAATTCTATTGCATCATCATAGTTGTCATCTGTCATGGTGAGTCCTGCAATAGTCCGTGCAGCTGCTCCAGTTAGGTAGGATCTCAAGTATGTGAACTTGTCTGTTTTACATAATCCATCATTTTTGTGAATAGCTACTTCGTACTGAGACCAAAATGCTTGCCACTGACTTATTTCACCATTGTACTGGGTTATCAGTAACTTGGGAAGTTTAACAGTTTGTCTTGACTGTGATGCAAATGAACCAGAACCCGCATCACTGACTCGCGCTCTTGTGGACTCACGTGACCTTTCAATTATTCCAGTAGCGTGAAACTTCCATGTCAGAAGGCGGTCCATATAATCCTGTGTGTTTGAAATCTCCGTCTCCAGTGCATCTGTAGGTGTCTCCTCTTCTATGCCCTTATCCAAATCTATTAAACTTTCCTCCTTGGAGATCAAAAGTGTCAGAAACTCACGTAGATTGTCATTATCTGGTGTCTCCTTGCCCACCTCACTCTCCAGGCGGGATAACAGCTTTGTTACCGAGGTCCGTATTGTAGCACGTTTCTTCTTCATCCGCTCGAGCCAGTCCGTCATCTTGGCTGCTAGCAATAGCAGTTAGCACTTCACTCAGTTCTGAAATTTAGTGTAGTCTTACACTTCCCGGGTTTCGGCACCAAAAACTGAAGTGGAATAAAGGCTTCTAAAATGATGACGGACGACAGCGTCTTTATCTTGAACATTTAATGCTCATTTCATAACGTGAGCAACATCCAAACCTTTTTACGTCTCTTTTTTCTCTCGTCAAGTACAACACAATCAGCGAAGAAGAGTGCATTTCCTGAAGGTTCCCTTCAAAATAAAATACTTGCACAAAAACATTTTCAGTGCTAACAACAGGATTGTATGTCTTTAGTAACTAAATACTTAAATGACAAATAAGTCACAACAATATCGTTTTTCTTTATTGGGAAATTCCTTTGTTTATTAATACCCAGTTTTGGATTACCCTTTTGTTCCCTTTTCAGCCAAGAGCTTCGTTTTTGTTTAATAAATATCTTATAGAGAACTGTAAAAGTGTTTGTTTCTTTACAGTACAAAATCTTCTTTACTCCCTTAACCACATCGTGCTCCTAGCGAAGCCGAGGGACGTTAAAGCAGCATTCCACATTTCTTCTGAGGGGGGGAGTTTTTACTTCAGCCTCACAGGCTCAAGGGCATTCCCATTCCCATCGTTGTTTTAAATTGGACTGGATGGAGATCTGGTGACTGTGGAGTTCATTGGAGTCAGGTGAAGTATTTAGAAACCAGTTAGAGATGATCCGAGCTTTAGAACATGGTGCTATTGTGGTCATGGGGTGATGGTGGCTCAGGGGTTAGGAGTTAGCCCTGTAACCAGTGAGTTGTCGGTTTAAACCTAGGTTCCATCCATGTCAGTCGTTGTGTCCTTGGGCAGAACACTTCACTCTCCTTGCTTGATGATGATGGTACCTGTCTACGGCAGCCTCACCTCAGTCAGCCTACGCCAGGGCAGCTGTGGCTACAACGTAGTTTATCACCATCAGTATAGGGCTGGGCGATATGACGATTTTAGACCGTTTTACGATCTACACATCTGACGGTCTGTCATTTTTGAGAGACCTTTTCATCACGATTCACAGCTCTGCTGTTGAAATTCTGCCTCTGAATGAAAATGGAACTTACCCCAGGCGAATGACACGCCTTTGTTTGACCCTTAACCAATCAGAGTGAGTCATAGTAATATATTAGTGCCCCGCTTGTTTTCACCTGTGTGTGAACAAACATGGCTTCGGCCGCGGCTGAGAGCGACAACGAGGTTTTCGTTCCGAAGAGGAACGCCTCGTCCATTATATGGAGCTGGGTTGGTTTTTCACCAAATGACAAAGAGCAGCAAAACATCATTTGCAAAGTTCGCAAGGAGAGCATCAAGGCAAGTGATGGCAACACCACAAACTTGTTTAATCACTTGAAAAGAAGGCATCCCAAACAATACAATGAGAGCCAGCTGGCAGCTAGAGCTAAAAAGCCTGCGGCTGCAGCGGCTAGTGCTTCTTCCAGGCAGCAAACGCTAACAGAAACACAAAACTCACTCCCCACGACAGAGACAGCAGACGATGGAACAGCGTGACAGATGCAGTGACGTACCACTTGGTTAAAGATTTGTGTCCCGTGTGAACAGGAGGAGTGAGATTTAAGAAAATGATAAAAACATTGGATCTGCGCTACGAGTTTTCCAGCCGCAAGTATTTTTCGAACACAGCCATTCCACGCATGTACGCTGAATGCAAAGTGAGAGTTGCAGAAAATATTCAGAATGCGCAGTTATTTGCTACCGCAAGCGATATCTGGTCCAGCCGCACATCAGAGCCTCATATGAGCTTAACTACCCACTACATGAGCAACTGGGAGCTACATAGTATTTTGAACAAGTTAATGTTTGCACAATACGTTTGCAATTGACATGTTTGCACTTTAAATATGTTTACGATTTAAATTTATGTTAAGTTACTTGAAAAACGAGGAAAACTGATTTTTGTAATTGTTTTTCTCAGGGCTTTTATCATCTCTGGTGTGAGTTTAAAATATAAGTGTGTTAGCACTGTGTTGATTATCCCTAATATGAATAAATGTTTATTTATTCAATGTTTCTCTTCTTTAATATGCAATTGAAGTTATGCTATTCATGGATAAAAAATCGTGATAAAATCGAAATTGTGATAAAATATTGGAAAAATCGTGATATTCTATTTTTACCATATCGCCCAGCCCTACATCAGTGTGTGAATGTGTGAGTGACTGCATGTCGTTTAAAGCACTTTGGAGTCCTCTGACTCAGAAAAATGATTTACAACTGCAGGTCACTTATCATGTCATAAAGGGTTGGCTATAGTCAGCACCAATACTCATGTAGTACTGGTGTGTGACAAGTCTCGGGGTAAAGTTGGATGCTGATCTCTCAATGGACCCACAGATAAACTCCGTAGTGAGGTCTTGCTTTTATCAGCTTCGCCGCCTTACTCGCCTCAGACCAGTCTTGAAGTTGAGGCATTCGGAGTCAGTCATCCATGCTTTCATTACCTCTCACCTGGACTATGTAAAACACCCTCCTAGTTGGTGCTCCAGTCTCTGCCCTGAATCGGCTGCAGGTCGTCAAGAACGCTGCTGCCAGGTTCTTGACAAATATGCACCGACGTAGCCATATTACCCCTGTCCTGGTACATCTTCACTGGCTCCCTTTCATTTTCCGAGTACAGTTTAAGGTATTGACATTCGTCTTTAAAGCACTCAATGACCTGGCACCTCCATATCACTTCCAAGCTGCTCACTCCCTATGCACCCACGCGCACGTTGAGGTCGGCTGACCTCCTGCTGCTGTGCACGCCCCGGATGCGATACAAATCACGGGGTGAACGAACATTTGTACATGCTGCCCCAAAGCTGTGGAACTCTCTAGCCATTAAAGTTTGGCAGGCTCCATCATTGGCGGTTTTTAAATCTCATTTAAAGACCCACTTCAACGATGTGGCTTTTAGACAGTGACTCGTTTTAGTGTTTTATGGTGTTATTACTCATGTTTTTATTTGTTTTTGATCGGCATTTTTATCTTCTGTTTTAGTTGCTTGGATTGGTCGTGTTTTGGTCCAGCCTGTGCAGCACTTTGGGCAGCTCCCATGCTGCGTTTTAAATGTGCTATATAAATAAACCATGGTATGGTAGGCTGTAGTGTTTTAACCATGCTGGGTCCAAAGTGGGCCAAGAACATCTCCCCCACATCATCACATGACCAGGTTGAACCATCGATACAAGGCAGGATGGATCCATGTTCTCATGTTGGCTCTCGTGTTTTCAGCCTCTTCTGGTGCAGTTCTGGTGCTCCTGTACGAGTTGTAGCCTCAGGTGCATGTTCTTAGCTGACAGGAGTAACACCTGGTGCGGTCTTCTGCTGCTGGAGTTCATCTGCTTCAAGGTTCAACATGCTGTGGTTTAGAGGTGCTCTTTGTAGACTTTGGTAGGAACCAGTAATTATTGTCTGGTTTGACCATTCTCCTCTGACCTCTACAGATGCTGCTAACTGAATATTTCCTCCTTTTTTGGACCATTCTCTGTAAACCAGACAATTGTGGGAGAAAATTCAAGTAGATCAGCACTCATACTCACACCAGTTCATCTGGTACCAATAGCTATGCCCTGTTCAAAGTCACTTAATTTTTTTTTTCTTTATCAGCCAAAGACTCAATTTGATCTTCTCATCTTCATTATATTTCCATGTCTACATGCACTTAGCTGTTACAATGTGATTAGCTGATTAGCTTTTATATTATGTACTGTACCTAAGAAAGTGGACAACAAGTGTGTAGAGACCTGTGATTTCGAAGCCTGTTCGAACTTCAAATGCAAATTCTGTTTTTATTTTGTGTTTCAGTTGCTGCTTCTGTATTTTATAATTCTCAAGAAACGGATACTGAGAAGCTCTTTAGAATATATCCATGTATTATAGAATTTTCCCATTTAATTTTTAAATGTTCAGGGTCGGATCAGTAACAGCCTCGGTGGTTTGCAGGAATACAGGTAGGTATTAGACACATAGAAGAATAAAAAAGGACTTCACCAAGAACGTGCACCACTTTTCTCCTTCCTTTCTCTGTATCCATGGGTGGGGACGACACAGAGAGGGCAAAGGTCAGGTTAAACACCATGGAGAACACAATGATCGGTGGGTGAAGCTGCTTTGATAGCTGCAGGAATGAACAAAGAAAGATGAGCAGGACAGACAGGAAACAAACAAGACCTGAAATAATATGGCAGTAAAAAGGAGCTAATTCACCCAGCTTGTTATTAATAGAAATTGTTAAAATAATTAACTGGATCACAAGAAATTTGGCAGAAAAAAATTGATTAAAGTGTGCTGAACTTGTGCTAAAGCTTCATCAAAGAAGGAAAACACTGCAGATCACTGGTTACTTTCACCGTGTCAAAAAAAAAATAACTGAGATTCAGATGCACTTCTGAAAAAAAATTTGTAATAGTTTAAGAAATGCTATTATATATATATATATATATATATTTTTTTTTTTTTTTTTGCATGTTTAGTCAGAGAAAGCACCAGTACCTCAGATAAACCCCCTACTGCAGTGTCTGTTTGGTGCAGGAAGGGGGAGGTAGTCTGTGCAGAATTCAATCAGAAGATGGTGTAAGAAAAACAAATGTAAACAAACCAACATTGTGATTATCTCATGCTTTTAGATCCATTGGACATCAATTTATGTTTAAATGCAGTTTAAATACCATTTTGTCCTTACATTTAATGAATCTTTTAGGTTAAAACATTTTATCATTTAACAGAGCCGACTCTGCAGCAAGTCTGCTCTGCTCTTTTTTGTGATGCATGTTAAAGTGCTGATTCGTGCATTTAGATCCACAGATGTGCGTGTGTAGTTTGACTCAGCATGTTAATGATGCTGCATCAGATACAGTAAATCCTGCAGAAGAGAGAGCATTATGCATGTCTGAAAATAGATTTTAAACCTCTGTGCTGTGACTTTTGTGCAGATTTGAATTGTCATTTTTAGCTTCTGTGATCATTCTGTGCTAAAGTTCTGCTGCAGCACATCAATGCTAATCATGAATTCAGACCCCAGTAAAGTAAAGTTTTTAAAGCAATGGCTGACTGTAAACAGCCTTGCTGTATTCATTCTCTCAAGGTTAGTCATGTGATCAAGTCTGCAGCTGCACAGTCGACAAGCACAGGCAGCTGCAGCCCCAGCTGTGAGCTACAGAAAAAGCACAGGAGTCATTTGAACTTACCATGGCTGTCACACGGATTTGCAGCAGATGTTTCTCAGTGAAGTGTTTTAAGTCCTCGGTTGGGATGAATGTTGCTCTACAGCAGCAGCAGTCACCGTTCTCCCTCCATCCATCGCTGCTATCACACACTACAGGGGAAACACCAGTGTTTGTGGGTCCCGCAGTGCTTTAGTGACGCAGCATATAGTTGACTGCT